AAAAAAAAAAGTAAGGGGGGAATTCTGCAGGAGCAGATTACAATTTAAATGTTTTGAAGGAACTTAAAGGAGGAAGGTGGTGAAGATGATGATAATGAAGTGATCTCAGTGTTTTGTTAATAAAAACTAACTTTAAAAAAAAGTATAAAAGTTACAAAAACTAAATGTAACAGCATCCATTACCTGAACGAGCTGAAGATTTTGACACAAGGATGGTTAAATTATAAAATATTCAAAAGTGCTTGGCTTAAAAAATGCAAAACTAAACGAAAAACAACAGAAAAATGCTGAGTCAGCATTCAAACAGTGAGTCAGCAGCAGCTCCATCCCTTAAATTTATCTGAGACTAAAATCTGACCCAATGGATCAGGTTCAGGTTTGTCCCCTGGGGGACACTGGTTCAGGTCTGAGGGGGTCTCACATCAGTCCAGGTTCAGGTTTGTCCTCTGGGGGACACTGNACATCAGTCCAGGTTCAGGTTTGTCCTCTGGGGGACACTGGTTCAGGTCTGAGGGGGTCTCACATCAGTCCAGGTTCAGGTTTGTCCTCTGGGGGGCACTGGTTCAGGTCTGAGGACTGACAGGTCTTTAGATATTCAGCCTGTTTTCCTTCAGAGAGCCAGAAAGATGCCTCCATCCTYTGCGGCTGTGTTCTCTGTCACTTCCTCTCCTCCTCCTCTTTCTCTCCTCTCTCCTCTTCTGCCTCCTTCTCCTCTTCATCACCCACCGTCCTCTCAAACATCAAACCTGGCGTTCTCCTCTCTGCCTCCCCTCAACTCCTCTCGCTCACCGTGTCCTGACTGATGGGTGACCAGTCTTTGTGTCCTCCGTGCTCCTCCCGGACACAGAGTCCAGCTCCCTCCTTGTCGCCTCCTCTTTGTGGCCTTGATGCGACTCCTTCCTCCTCTCAGTTTCCTCGCTCCTCTCCTCTGCTCCTCTGACTTCGTGCATCTCTGCGATGGCCTCTTGTCACCTCCTTCCTGTCTTGTATTTCTGTCGCTCCTGCTGCTCGTAGGCCTGCCTTCCTCCTCCCTGCTCCTCCTCTTTTCATTTTCCTCCTGCTTCTTGTTCTCAGTTTATTTTTTGCTCTTCTTTCTCGTCTGAACCTCTTCTTTGGTCGTTTCGTTGATCTTTTTCTTCTCATCAGGAGTTTTCTCAGATTTGGACTCCAGGGAGTTCTCCTCCGTCTCTCCTTTCACGCTCCTCTCCTCCTTCTTCAGTTTGAAAAGGTCGCACCTCGTCTCTTTGCTCTTCTTCTCCTCCTCTGCRCCGTCGCCCTTCTTGTCCAGCTTCTCCTCCAGGATGTCGATCTCCTGCTCCAGCTCGGCCAGCTTCCTGGGGTCGGACTCCAGCTCCTCCTCCTCCACCTCCTGGATCTCCTCATACTCCTCCACCTCGATGCCGTCCATGGTCTTCTGCAGCTGCGTCTTCACCTTGTTCAGCTCCAGGAGGCCCTCCTGGAGCTCCTTGCACACCTGGCGGATCTTGCCGGCGAACTTGGTCTTGGCGCCCTTGCGGAGCTCGTGGGAGTCCTTGGCGAGGAAGAAGAGGTCGAGGGCGAGGAAGAGGGCGGACATGACGCCCGTGGTGACGCTGACGGCCTGGGCGGCCTTGGCCACGCCCCTGGCTCCGCCCAGGACCTGCACGGTGCTGATGAGCTTGTCAGTGTTGATCATCAGGGCCTTCCCGGCGCGGCCGCCCTCCTTCATCACGTGTTTGATGTTGTGGTTCAGCGCCTTCTTCGCCGCGCCCTCCGAGTACTTCTGGAAGTCCAGGTCCTGCAGGGAGTCCATACCTTCCTACGACAGAACCAGACGACAAGATGCCATTTTTATTTTTATTAAAGGGCCAATATTATGTGTTTCTCAGGCATGTATTTAAATACCATACCATAATAAAGTATCTATGTCATCTTTAGTTCTTATTAAAATGCTGTTTTTATGTTTAAATAGAAAATAAACTGATCTTCTCATCACTTCCTCTTCTAAACGCCTTGAAATTGGCCTCTGTCTCTTTAAGAACCACCTTCGCTTCTGTCTCGCCCATTTCAGTGCTGGGGACGGGGGACGGGGGACGGGGACGCGATCGCTCGGGGGAGGGGATTCGCTATGATGCAGTTCACTTGGCATCTGAAAATACATTTCCTCAAAGGTATTTTAATCTGAAAAGAGCTTCATTGAGTGAGAACTAAYGTTGAGAGCTCAGCAGACAGTTAAGTTTCACTTTCACTTTCACTCGAGAGCCTGCAGGAGTCATGGGCGGGGTGTGTGGGGAGGGGGGGTGCTCTGCCATGAGGAAGTTCAGCTTAAAGATACGTCCCAGGGGTGTTCCTAGTCCCCACCTGTCGTTTTGCTCCTCAGCATGGCTTCAAAAAAACGCTGCAGGATTTCTCAAACATGCCTGAATGAGTCAGAGCAAGGCTTTGGGCATGTTTTTTATGAGAGTATAACATTATAACATGATATAAAACTCAAAAAAGTTGATTTTACTTGATATTGCCCCTTTAATTTTCTCAACAAAGTTGTGGCGTTCCCTGAAACAACGCCCACCTGCACGAACTCCAAACACAGCCGGATGTCTTTGATCTCCTCCTGGTAGCCCTGGATCATCTTCTCCACCTTCTTGCGGTCCATGTTGGAGTGAACCGTGTCCGTGATTTTGGCCGTTGCCGCCGTGATGCTGCCGGCCGTCGCCACGCCGATCCCCACCGCCGTGACGATGATGGAGGCCCCGAAGGTGAAGGGCGCCAGGATGAGCCCGGTGATGGTGGCCAGGCTGCCGCACACGCTGGCCACGCCCCCTCCCACGGCCGCCGACACCGTCTTCTTGTGGAACTCGTCGGCGGAGTCGGCCGCCGCCAGCAGCTCCAGGATGCGCTGCTGCAGCGACGCCCCCCGCTGGTTGAAGAGGTGCACGAAGACTCTGGCTGCCATGTAGACCCGGTCCGCCACCTGCTCCATTGCCCTGCGGACAGGAACAGAACCGCCGCGACCACGACGGCGTTTAAACACCGAAAAGATTCTTCAACTTTAAATCTAACTTTGTTTTGTTTACATTTCTTCATCCTCCTGGAAATCAGACGTCTCGTTCCACTCGGTCCAACCTGCAGCAAACAAACAAACAAACAAACAAACAAAGACAAACATACAAACAAACAAAACAAGCAAACACAAACAAACAAACATACAAACAAACATAAACAAACAAACAAACAAACATACAAACAAACAAATATAAACAAACAAACAAACAAACATACAAACAAACAAATATAAACAAACAAACAAACAAAAACAAACATCAAACAAACAAACATAAACAAACAAGCAAACATAAGCAATCAAACACAAACAAACATACAAACAAACAAATATAAACAAACAAACATACAAACACAAACAAGCAAGCAAACAAACATAAACAAACAAACATAAAAACAAACATAAGCAATCAAACACAAACAAACATAAACAAACAAGCACACAAACAAACATACAAACAAATGAACAAATATAAACAAACAAACATACAAACAAACAAATGAACAAATATAAACAAACAAACATACAAATGAACAAATATAAACAAACAAACATATAAACAAACAAACAAACATACAAACAAACAAACAAAAGCAAACACAAACAAACAAACATAAACAAACAAGCACACAAACAAACATACAAACAAACAAATATAAACAAACAAACATAAACAAACATACAAACAAACATAAGCAATCAAACACAAACAAACAAACATAAACAAATAAGCACACAAACAAACATACAAACAAACAAATATAAACACAAACAAGCAAACAAACAAACCAAAATGATCAGATAAAAAAATAGATTTAAAACCTACAAACTAAAAACTGACACAAACCTTTCACCGTGTTCCACCACTCCATCAGCTCGTTGTTCTCCTGAGGAACAAAAGGTTACTGAAGCTGAACAACAGCCGAAACTTACAGAAGAAAATAAAACCAAAAGGCTAAAATAAGCAAAAAGTCACCTAAATGTAATGCTAAAATGCCTACATACTGTAGACAAATCCTACATGCTCCAAACACATCCTACTAAAGAAGTTTTAACAGAGTTATAAAAGTTAATAGAAGCAAAATACAGGCTAAAGGCTAAAATAAGCAAAATGCTAGTCAAAAGCTAAAGGCAGCAAACATTACATTGGAGCTGAAAGGAACAAAACAACAGCTAAAACAAATACAAATCTTGCTAAAAGCTCAAAAAAGAACAATAGCTTCAAACCTTAAAGAGAAAAAATATCTAAAACCACAAAAGTAGCAAAACGCTAGTTAAATGTAGCAAAACGCTTAGACAAATCCTTCCTGCTAAGAAATTTACTAAAGAAGCTGAAACTGAGTTGTTAAAACCCTATCCCCTAACTGCTAAAAATAGCAAACACTAACTAATGTAGCAAAAGTGCAGTTAAATGTAATAAAATGGCAGTTCATAACAGCTGAACGGTAGCTAAAATTTAACAGAAGAACAAACCTGCTCGGCTTCGGCTGAGGTTTCTTCAGTTGGATAAGCTGCCATCTCTACAAGCTCGACCACCACTGTGCTCTCCTGGAAAACAAACAAACAAAAAAAAAACCCAAATAAACAATATTTAAAAGCTTCCTGAAAGGAAATTTTTGTTTTGATAAAGAAAAAAAGATATCAGCTAAAAAAAATGTTCACCAATGCTACTGTTTCAAAACAAGAACATGATCTTTGTTCTGACCTGAGGTGCGTTCAGGTCCTGCAGCTCCACAGCCTCGTCAACGGCGRCCATGTTTTCTGGACTCTGCAGAAACAAAACACATAAATGTCATTAATTTACACACAGCGGGATTAAAAATTTTGAATCTGTCGACATTTGTCTGAAAGAAACCCTTCAAACGGGAGGAAATACCTGTTTGGTTTGAGTTTTCCTGATCCGAAATAACACAACCTGTGAAAATCAAACATATATAAAGTTAAATATCTCAGACGAAGCAGTGAAAACAAACATTTTGTCATTTACACGTTTTTTCTTCTTTACGGTTCCTTTGCACATCAGCCTGGCGTCAGATGGCGGCGGATCCTTCTCACCTTCCTGAGATGAACAATTTTAAACAAAACAGTCATTTGTTTTTAGCTTTTTTATTTTAATTTTTTAAAATAAATATCCTATTTAAATTTTAATAAAAGATAAATAAAATGGGTTTGTCTTTGTTCCAACCTGCTGTTCTGAAATTTTGGGTGTCCGCCTGAAGTTCCCTGAAAATCCAACTCTTTTGTCCTGTAAAATAAAAATAAAAAAATTAAATGGTGCTTTTATTTTGACATTGTTATTATTCTGTTTAAAAAAAAATTAAAAACCCATCATCACCTTCGTAGAGTCAAAACGATTATCCTGAGCCGAGACTTCCTCCTTTAAAAACGTTTTTACAGTTAGTTACATTACAGTTTTAATTAAACCTACAGCTAAACAATAAGAGTCAAGACAAAAAAACTAGTAATTAGTACTTTATTATAATTATTTTATTTTAAGACACGTCTCACCGTCCTGATGTCGGTGAGGCTGTCGCAGCTCGCCGACAATCTTCTGGAGTCACTGAGCGGGTCCTGAAAGAGAAACCAGGGTCAACGGTTAATCATTAAACATCATCATTATTWTTTTTTAAAGGATTTTTTAAACAAAAGTGTTGCAGAAACAGCTGTGTTTGTTGCGAAAAATCTACGCTGATGTAGAAGCAGAATAGGGGGAAAGATTTCAGGGATAAAATAAAATTAGCAAACTGATTTCGACTTGATTTTTAATCACAACATAATTTCTGCCTGGTCTCTCACTTGATCCCACAGAGTAATTTTTGTTCAGATGTAAAAGAACAAAAAACAGAAAGAAAACAAAACTGCAAATCAACTTATAACTTGAAGTATCCCAGATTTAAGTTGGCAGTTATTAAAGGGGTGCAACAGATGTCAAAGGTCGAGTTACAGTTTATGTCAATTCAGGTTCTTTTTTTAGAAAACAGTTACATGTTTGGCCAGAAGGTGGCAGCAAGGTGGTAAGCTATAATTGATATGATGATAAGTGGCATTTGAATTTTTTATCTGCTTGATTAGTGATGAGTAGTTAGCTGAACMTTTGGTTGGTGGCCTGTTAAAGTAGAATAATCTTAGGCTAAATTCTGATGTAGAAAGGGGGTCTGAGGAGATGGTTTATCACAGTGGTTTCTCAGTGGTTGGCAAACAGTAAAAATGGAAAGGCTTGAGTCTCTAATGGTGGCTGGGTAGTGGTCTGGTTACATTTATGGTGGTTGTTGTTGGTGGTGGTTCTTCATAAGTATGTATTMAAAGACTAYCTCCCAGACAATTAGGATAGCTTAAGCATCATCGGAGCAACATCCACCCTTGGCCTACCAGATGCAACAACAGGACTCCATCCCTGGGACCATCGCACCATCCAGACTGAGAGGACAAGGAGTGACGGCGTGTAGAAAAAAGCCCCAACGTCCCTAGCTGACATTTTAAGTAATTAAAGGTAATACTGATATAAAAACACACATGTAGCAGGCATGAACTTAGTTGAGGCAAATCATAATTGTTGCTAATGATTTTTACTGTTCATTGTATGGTTAAAAGCTAAGGTTAAAATATGAAACACTAGGACGTTATTGTGGTGACTGATTGAATCAGGTTGATCTGTGGGCGGAGTCAAATATCAAAAGATGATCAGAAGGTAAGATGGAGAATCACTGAAGGCTTCTCCCTATGGAAGGGTATCGGTTAGGTAAACTACGCCCTCATTGGAAAGAATAGGGCAGATAACCTGAGTCAGTTAAAACCCTATGTAATTTCAGGATGTGTTTTCTATTTTGTTGTTGGGGTGGAATAAATGAATCATTTTACTTTATACCAGGGGTGGGATGTTAGTGTGTTTCCATGWTGTGCTGTCACGCTTAGAATAATTGCAGACACAYAGTGCCTYWCTRTGAACATRTAGGGTTTTTGATTATAGATTTCCTTAATGTTCACATGACTGGTTGTCACGTGAAAAGCGGGAGTTGAAGAAATTTATTGGGGTGTTTACTACTGACCTTTAAAGACACAACACATTGTATAGTCTTTTATTAAGTGAACAGTAATATTTTTTTATAATGTGGTTATTTTTGCTTGAATTGACGCTTTCATGTGCAGACTGGGTTGTRGGACGTTGATCAGGGTTTCACAGACTCAGGAAGCTTTTAGTTAAATGTCTGATTTAAAAYAACACATATAAGAACCGTGATTAAAACATTAGCGTGAGGAATAAWGTCTGACATCTTGACTCCRTATAGAAAGAGCGTGCCTTTTAAGACACTTTCATGAGGCGGAGCCAGGATGCGAAGAGGCTGGTTACTTGTTTAGCTGATGCCTGTCGGAGGCAGATTAAACAAAAGCTAATCAGTCACAGCTGTGTCTGGATGGTTTTGTATGGCTCACTCAAACATTCATATGCCATTATTATTAACTGGTGTTAGATCTGAACAGGTAAAGGGTAAAGAACATTGCTTATTTTTTAACAGGTGTTCWAATGAAATAAAGAAAGTCATATTTTGATTCCAGGCCTGCTTTATAAGACTAGTTCACGGTGGACAAAAATGTCAATAAAAAGCATTTTTCAGCCATTATGTAAGCTGTTTCATTAGTTGTTGTCGCAAAAATAAAGTCTTAAAACATTTAAAACATTATAAGCTGGAATTATACTGAGTTCCTTTTGTTCTCTCAAGAATTTCAAAACTTCAAACTAGAAAAAAACAACTGGAATGTGGACTCAGAAAATGACTCAATAGCTGCAAAAATAAACATGAACTTTTATCAGTTTATCATTTTTCCCCTTATGTGAGCAAATGTTTAATTTACGAATGAAAAAAATGTTGTGAAATCCAAACATTTTAATGATTTTTCTGAGTTGGTTAAATCA